TAAAAAATGCCCACCTGTGGGTGAAACGCTGTATCAATAAAGGTCTTCACCACACTTAACATCATCAACAGGTTTCAAAGATGTCATGATTGCAGGACAAACGCGACCACCATGTGGAGAAGTCTGCGGAGCGTGGTGGCAACAGGTGTGGGAAGCACCAGATGTAGAGTAGCAGGTGTGGGAGGTACCAGGTGTGCAGTAGTATTTGATGGAAGCAGCCTAAGTGTTGGAGGCAGCAGGTGTGGAGAAGATGTAGCCAGGTCCTTTCACCTCTCCGTCACTTGTCAAGCCAGCTCAAGAAGCAATCTTAACAAACCGCTGACCGTAGATGACATGACACGTCTAGGAGGCATCGCCTCCTTCATGCGGCTACCCGTCCAGAGCGACACGCAAGGTACCTATCTCTGTTGGGTCTGTTTATATGTATTAATGTATTACAGTCACTGATTAGATTTAGATAGGTTTTGCCACCGAAGTAGCTAGTTTATTGTGCACCCCATATCCATCCTGTGGACGGTAGCGCAAGAGCATATGGATACACAAAAGGCCTAGGAACTAGGCCCCAAAAGGGTTAACAGGTGTACATATGCGTTTATATCTACATATCTGTAGTTCACTTATCTGTTACAATTTAGGAAATTTGCTTAGTATATCTGGTATCTTATTTTCATTAATAAGATATCTTGACATGTCTGTATTAATCAGTAAGTGGACAATTAAGCACATATTGTTCAAGACAGTGACCATATGCCTGATCACATAATTTACATTTAGTTTGATCATCATCTGTGTGTCTCCCAAACTGCCAGAAGTACTTGTAACCAAGCCTAAGCCTGGCCACTACAACATCAGTCAGTCTGTTCACATTGCACGTTGCTCCATAAACATACTTATCTACGTTCATGTTATCATAGTGGGTTATAGATCTACTCAGGCGACTAATTGCATTCCCATAACAATCATTTTCATTATTTATTTCTCTCCTAATATTATTCCTAATGCTAGACACAGTTATACCAAAGTTATATTCTACATTCTCCTACTGGGTACTCTTCTTGGCTAACATAACAACTTAATCTTGAAGGAGTAATCCAGTGTGTGATGGGATCCAAAGCAATTGTACATCAATTACTTTGTCCCTGATTTTTTAGTATCTATACCTGTTGGAGTCATTATATGAGTCAAGAGCCTTCAGTGATGACATAGAATCAGTAATGATGATAGAGTCAAGCTCGGTGTCATAAGTTAGCTTTAGCGCCATTACGATTGCGAACAATTCAGTTTGCAGTGTAGACGCCCAGTTGTTAATTCTTATTCCTAGTTCAACAAGTTTATTATCGTTCTTAACTAGGGAGGTGGCAACAAGAGCAGATGCAGCCCTGCCAGAAGACTCCTGTTTAGATCCACCAGTGTATATAACTTGTGATAACTTATTACTACCAGCTAGGCGATAAATTTCTTCTTGAGCAGTTGCTTTAACAAGTGATTTAAGAAAGGGATTACTAGCAATGAGCTTCATGGGAGGGACTTGCAGGTATGTGATATTAAATGAACACATCTTCCATGGAGGGGTGAAATGCTCTTGTTGCCTAGTGATACAGTTCATGCAGGTTATAAAACTTAATGTAATTGCACGTTTTCACAATCCATTTAGATCTGCGTGTATTTACTTCTAGACACTTTGTAAGATTCATTGTGACAGTGTCTGGTTCATTCATTGAAAAACGCTAACTCCACAAAAATTACATAGCCCCTTGTGAATGGAAGGCAATAAGATAAAATCTGAAGGGCCCTTCACAAGATGAAATAATCATGTGTTGAGTATTTGAAAATTATGTATCGTAAGTGTATTGGTGAATAAATGTGCTTTACAGGCGACGGAAAAGAATAACAGAGCGGCTAAAAGAGGCCAATATATCTGAAATGCGTAGGGAGACACTGGTCAGAGAAATAGCAAACACCGAACTTAAGCTAAAGGAATCTTACAGGAGTCAGGAATCGCGGGAAGAACTGAAAGCCATAAATGAAATCGAAAGAAACCCAAAGTATTTATTTTCCTATGCCAAATCAAAGTCGAGAACATCATCCAGTATTGGGTTCCTACTTAAACAAGATGGGTCCTACACAAATGACAGCAAGGAAATGAGTGAGCTACTCAAGTCCCAATATGACTCAATATGAGTCGAAGATCAAAATTATTTTTTTATGAGAGAGCCACAGAATTTGGTTAACACAAACCTATCTGATGTTATCCTGACGCCAAATGACTTTGAACAGGCGATAAATGACATGCCCATGCACTCTGCCCCAGAGCCAGACTCATGGAACTCTGTGTTCATCAAGAACTGCAAGAAGCCCCTATCACGAGCTTTTACCATCCTATGGAGAGGGAGCATGGACACGGGGGTCGTCCCACAGTTACTGAAAACAACAGACATAGCCCCACTCCACAAAGGGGGCAGCAAAGCAATAGCAAAGAACTACAGACCGGTAGCACTAACATCCCACATCATAAAAATCTTTGAAAGGGTCCTAAGAAGCAAGATCGCCAACCATCTAGATACCCATCAGTTACACAACCCAGGGCAACATGGGTTTAGAACAGGTCGCTCCTGTCTGTCTCAACTATTGGATCACTACGACAAGGTCCTAAATGCACTAGAAGACAAAAAGAATGCAGATGTAATATATACAGACTTTGCAAAAGCCTTCAACAAGTGTGACCATGGCGTAATAGCGCACAAAATGCGTGCTAAAGGAATAACAGGAAAAGTCGGTCGATGGATCTATAATTTCCTCACTAACAGAACACAGAGAGTAGTCGTCAACAGAGTAAAGTCCGAGGCAGCTACGGTGAAAAGCTCTGTTCCACAAGGCACAGTACTCGCTCCAATCTTGTTTCTCATCCTCATATCTGACAGACAAGGATGTAAGCCACAGCACCGTGTCTTCCTTTGCAGATGACACCCGAATCTGCATGACAGTGTCTTCCATTGCAGACACTGCAAGGCTCCAGGCGGACATCAACCAAATTTTTCAATGGGCTGCAGAAAACAATATGAAGTTCAACGTTGAGAAATTTCAATTACTCCGATATGGTAAACATGAGGAAATTAAAACTTCATCAGAGTACAAAACAAATTCTGGTCACAAAATAGAGCGAAAAACCAACGTCAAAGACCTGGGAGTGATCATGTCAGAGGATCTCACCTTCAAGGCCCATAACATTGTATCAATCGCATCTGCCAGAAAAAATGACAGGATGGATAATGAGAACCTTCAAAACTAGGGATGCCAAGCCCATGATGACACTCTTCTGGTCGCTTGTTCTATCTAGGCTGGAATATTGCTGCACACTAACAGCACCTTTCAAGGTAGGTGAAATTGCTGACCTAGAAAATGTACAGAGAACCTTCACGGCGCGCATAACGGAGATAAAACACCTCAATTACTGGGAGCGCTTGAAGTTCCTCAACCTGTATTCCCTGGAACGCAGGAGGGAGAGATACATGATTATATACACCTGTAAAATCCTAGAGGGACTAGTACCGAACTTTCACATGAAAGTCACTCACTACGAAAGCAAAAGACTTGGCAGACGATGCAACATCCCCCCAATGAAAAGCATGGGTGCCACTAGCACGTTAAGAGACCATACAATAAGTGTCAGGGGCCCGAGACTGTTCAACTGCCTCCCAGCATACATAAGGGGGATTACCAACAGACCCCTGGCAGTCTTCAAGCTGGCACTGGACAAGCACCTAAAGTCAGTTCCTGACCAGCCGGGCTGTGGCTCGTACGTTGGATTGCGTGCGGCCAGCAGTAACACCCTGATTGATCAGGCCCTGATCCACCATGAGGCCTTGTCACAGACCGGGCCGCGGGGGCGTTGACCCCCGGAACTCTCTCCAGGTAAACTCCAGTATAAGAGTGATAGAGCAGATGCTAAGATGACTCAAGATAAGAGTATCACAAAAAGAACATGAAACTAGAGTTCACGTTTTCTACAGACTGTAATGAATGAAAGTGGGGTGTACACGGGTCCCGGCTTCCAGCCTGTACACACACAGGACCGGGTCGGGAGCTAGGACCGACCTCTCCCAACCTAAACCTAGGTGAGTACAAAAAAAATTGCTCATTTCCAGGCGATTATACTGATTTTCGACACATAAGGAAGAAGACTGTCAAAAAGGCAATTAAAAAAAAATTCCCATTGTACTCAAAATGAATTTCTTTTTCGAGAATGTAAATTTTTTTTCCCCACGAACTGGGAAAAGTTTTTAATGGGATGTTTAAACTATTTAAACCGAACAATAAATTTATTTACTTTGGGGCCAAACAAAATGGAAAAAATCTTCCCAAATTAAACATTCTACTTCAGAAACTCTCAAAAAAATTTAATGCGGGTTTGGGCCTCAGTAGGTCTTGCCCCTTTTTTTCAGATCATAAAACTCCGGAGTATTAGACCCCGGGATAACCCGGGGAAGCCACGCTGTCTGATTTTTTTTTCCTTTTTAAATTTTTTTTAAAACCCTAGGATACGCCCAAAAATAATTTTTATTTCATAAAATTATTTGCATAAAAATAAACGGGGAAAAGTTAACTTTTTGGGCCATCCCGGGAGTATACCTGGGGGGTGTTTGGGGGGATGACCCCCCCCGCGCTCCGATCCAGGGACCAAACCCTTTACGGTAAATTTAGGGGCCTGATAAACCAGGCTGTTATAGGGGGGTCGCCCCGCAAACTGAGTGGGAAACCCCCCATTATTTTATTAAAATAAAAAAGAAGCGCAAAGCCAAAAGGGAAACCTATAAAAGCATGGGGAAACCAAAACCCCCGGCTAGTCAGCACTGATTTTAGGGTGACGCCCGGTTTCTCTCTTGAAGACAGAGGGAAGTCAGTTAAATTTTCCTTGGCCCTTGACATTTATTGTGTCGGGGGCGTTACTCATGGCCCTCCTACTTTTCACTGGGGGGGGGGGGGGTTGCCCCTGCCCTGCCGGGGTCTTCTGTTTTTCGTATGGAGTGATTTCCCCTGTGAAATTTGGGGGACTAGTTCTCTAGGATTTTACAAGTGCATCTTAACATTTTATCTTTCTCCCCTTCTTTTCCAAGGATACGGGTCAAGAGTTTTCCCACTGTTCCCAAAATTTTTAGGAGTTTTAAATTGTACTTATACATCAATAAAAGTTCTCTGTATATTTGCGGGTCTTTAATTTCCCCCGTCTAAATTAAGGGGCCGTTTTTTTAGAGCATTTTTCCCAAACCCTAAAGAGAAAAAAACGATTTGAAAAAATCATCTTTGGCTTGGCATCCCCGTTTTAAATGTTCTCATTATCCACCCTATCTTTTCCTAATGTGGTAGAAAAACTCTTTTGGATATTTAAAAAATGGG